CAGCCTACCACAGTTAACAGAGAGGGAGTGGCCTGAGACAAGGAGTTAGAGCTGGGCAGGGGCCAGATGGTGATTTGTCATCATATGAAGTCTGTTTTCAGTCAAAGTGCTGTGGGTTTTAAGTGGGAGAATGATAATGATCTAATGGGAAAATGTCACCCTGGTTACTGGATGGCAAGGCCTCAGCATGTTCTTCTGTGGCATCATGTGGTGCATCCCAGCCTTGGCTGCACGTGAGCATTATATGGGGAGCTGAGTCAGGGTCATGAAAAAGTTCTCAAACTGATGGTGTGATGGTTGCACAATTCTGTGACTATACCAAAAATCATTGAATTATACACTTTAAATAAGTGAGTTGAATGCACCTGCTCTTTGGGAAAGACTTGAATATCCAGAAAAGCGGAAATAGAGGGAAAAGTGACAGAACAAGCCTCTGAGGAGGTGGGTAAAGAGGGGATTCCAAGCACCAGTAGCTGGCTTAGCCTTGGATAAAAGGACACAGATTTGTGAGCAGGGGTCGGAAAAAGGATGCAGTTAGATGATTTTGTGAAAGAACCCAGAGCCTTTGAATTTATCCCGACAGCCTCAGCTTTCTCTGCCCTGGGAGAGCGCTACTGAGAGTGGTGGGGTGAGTTTGTAGAGCATCAGCCGCTGATGATGGTTCCTACACGAACTGGCAACATCTTGTGAGGGATGGAGGCGGCAGGTGCCTGGACTGCTGTGGAGGGTTTGGCCAGGTGGTTGGGGTCGGGATAGGGGAACTGCCTTGGGCCCTTTCCAGCCTTCCAGGTGGCCATGGCCATGGCCATGTCTTAACTGTTGTCTTCCATTTTGACTAGCGTGCCGCCTTGTGTGTAGTAGGCCTGCAAGGACTGAACTTAATTTTGCTTCATGGCTGTTTACTTCCCTGTTAGGACAGTAACGATGACACTGAAGATGTTGCATTGTTTGATGCGGAAGAGGAGACAACTAACAGACCGAAAAAATCCAAAATCAGATATGAGGCTAAGTTACAAGAGTTGTGTTGTCTCGGGCTGTTCTGCCTGTTGACTGGTGCCAGCAGCGGGTTCCCTTCCAGGCAGAGTGGTTGTGACGCGCTGGCGAATGTTGTGTATTACAGTTTGATCTTAAAGATGACATTTCACTTTCTCTCTGGGAATAACTGGTATAGAGAATTTTACTCAGTACTGAGTTTTCAAGTTTGCAAATACAGTTATTTGAACACCAGTGTTTTTGATTCTGGCTGTTGTTTACCAAGAACGCACCATTTCTTTACGAGTTTCTGTAGATACATTACC